TTATTTCCGTAAAGTCTGAAATGTCTGTGTAGAGTTTAAGTGTGCTAAATTATTGATCACAAAACCATGAAATTAATGTGTCCATGACATGTATCATATCAATTTTAAGATATATTGTACTTCATGGAACTATTTGTGTCCATACTAAACACCAAACTGTATTGAACTCCAAGCATTTTCGCGTATCTCTACGATATTAAGCTCCCTAAAATTATGTTGTGGTAGTTTCCGTATTTCTTTGCCTTTAGTGCAAACATTTTCTAACATATGCAAATAGTAATTAAATTGAAAAACAATTCATCACAAGTAAAATCAATATATAAACATTAAATGTAAAACGACATGACTAATTGGATGTTTACAATCTGCTCGGAAGCAATGTTTTCGTCTTCAGAAACCAATATAGATTAACAGCAGTAAACAAGTATTTTTAACAACAGATTATCGTTGTTGTTTTCATTTTGTTTAAAGTGAATAATATCTTGGTCTAAATACTTCCTGAATTCTTATCGGAGATCCAGTTTATTACATTTTCGTCTACATGCTTAACCATTTCTTTTCATATCTAAAATATATAACAACTTGGTCTACATATAAGATCTTTTCTTATCATGTATTACCTGTATTACCTGTATAACATCTTGGTCTTTATATTTAATAATTTCTTATCATGCATTATCTGCATAAAATCTTGGTTTATATACTCATTTTGTCCTTATCATGTATCGCCTGTATAACATCTTGATGTATATATTAAATCAGTTCATATCTTGTATTACCTGTATAACATTTTTGGTCTGTATACTTAATCATCTCTTATCAGACATTTCCTGTATAACATTTTGGTCTGTATACTTAATCATCTCTGATCAGACATTACCTGTATAACATTTTAGTCCATATACTTAATCATCTCTTATCAGACATTTCCTGTATAACATTTTGGTCCATATACTTAATCATCTCTTAACAGAAATTACCTGTATGACATTTTGGTCTACGTACTAATCATCTCTTATCAGACATTTCCTGTATAACATTTTGGTCCATATACTTAATCATCTCTTAACAGAAATTACCTGTATGACATTTTGGTCTACGTACTAATCATCTCTTATCAGACATTTCCTGTATAACATTTTGGTCTTTTTTCTTAATCATCTCTGATCAGACATTACCTGTATATCATTTTAGTCCATATACTTAATCATCTCTAATCAGACATTACCTGGATAACATTTTGGTCTGTATACTTAATCATCTCATATCAGACATTACATGTATAACATTTTGTCCATATAGTTAATCACCTCTTATCACAAATTACCTGTATAACATTTTGGTCCATATACTTAATCATCTCTTAACAGAAATTACCTGTATGACATTTTGGTCTACGTACTAATCATCTCTTATCAGACATTTCCTGTATAACATTTTGGTCCATATACTTAATCATCTCTTAACAGAAATTACCTGTATGACATTTTGGTCTACGTACTAATCATCTCTTATCAGACATTTCCGGTATAATATTTTAGTCCATATAGTTAATCATCTCTTATCAGACATTACCTGTATAACATTTCAGTCCATATACTTAATCATCTCTTATCAGACATTTCCTGTATAACATTTTGGTCCATATACTTAATCATCTCTTAACAGAAATTACCTGTATGACATTTTGGTCTACGTACTAATCATCTCTTATCAGACATTTCCTGTATAACATTTTGGTCCATATACTTAATCATCTCTTATCAGACATTACCTGTATAACATTTTGATCTGTATACTTAATCATCTCTTATCAGACATTTCCGGTATAATATTTTGGTCCATATAGTTAATCATCTCTTATCAGACATTACCTGTATCACATTTCGGTCTACATACTTAATCATCTCTTATCAGACATTACCTGTATAACATTTTGGACTGTATACTTAATCATCTCTTATCAGACATAAGCTGTATAACATTTTGGTCTGTATACTTAATCATCTCTTATCAGACATTACCCGTATAACATTTCGGTCTACATACTTAATCATCTCTTATCGGACATTACCTGTTTAACATTTTGGTCCATATACAACCATCTCTTATCAGACATTACCTGTATAACATTTTGGTCTGTATGCTTAATCATCTCTTATCGGACATTACCTGTATAACATTTTGGTCCATATACTTAATCATCTCTTATCAGACATTACCTGTATAACATTTTGGTCCATATACAATCATCTCTTATCAGACATTACCTGTATAACATTTTGGTCTACATACTTAATCATCTCTTATCAGACATTACCTGTATAACATTTCGGTCTACATACTTAATCATCTCTTATCGGACATTACCTGTATAACATTTTGGTCTGTATGCTTAATCATCTCTTAACAGAAATTACCCGATAACATTTTGGTCTACATACTAATCGTCTCTTATCAGACATTTCCTTATAACATTTTGGTCCATAAACTTAATCATCTCTTATCAGAGATTTCCTGTATAACATTTTGGTCCATATACTTAATCATCTCTTATCAGACATTACCTGTATAACATTTTGGTCCATATACTTAATCATCTCTTAACAGAAATTACCTGTATGACATTTTGGTCTACGTACTAATCATCTCTTATCAGACATTTCCTGTATAACATTTTGGTCCATATACTTAATCATCTCTTATCAGACATTACCTGTATAACATTTTGGTCTGTATACTTAATCATCTCTTATCAGACATTACCTGTATCACATTTTGGTCCATATACTTAATCATCTCTTATCAGAAATAACCCGTATTACATTTTGGTTTGTATACTTAATCATCTCTTATCAGACATTTCCTGTATAACATTTTGGTCCATATACTTAACCATCTCTTATCAGACATTACCTGTATAACATTTTGGTCTATATGCTTAATCATCTCTTATCAGACATTACCTGTATCACATTTTGGTCCATATACTTAATCATCTCTTATCAAACATTACCTGTATAAATTCTGAAACAGGATTTTATATGTGTTCCAATTAATCACATCTAGCAAAATCTCGTATAAAATAAGCCCAGAAAAGATAAGAATATCATACACATATACAGGGTTTGTATAGCGCATTACCATATGTGTTATTAATTCCCTCCATCAGTTATTGAGAACATAAAAAATGACAAAGTAAATGTACCGAACATAATGAGTGGACACCATTTATGAAATGTAACGAGTTTCCTCCGTTGACGGATGATATGTGATCCTATTCGAGGATTTGTGGATTGTATCAGACATCTAGGAATGTGGTCAATCGATACTGATCGGAATCATTTTATTTCCGTAAAGTCTGAAATGTCTGTGTAGAGTTTAAGTGTGCTAAATTATTGATCACAAAACCATGAAATTAATGTGTCCATGACATGTATCATATCAATTTTAAGATATATTGTACTTCATGGAACTATTTGTGTCCATACTAAACACCAAACTGTATTGAACTCCAAGCATTTCGCGTATCTCTACGATATTAAGCTCCCTAAAATTATGCTGTGGTAGTTTCCGTATTTCTTTGCCTTTAGTGCAAACATTTTCTAACATATGCAAATAGATAATTAAATTGAAAAACAATTCATCACAAGTAAAATCAATATATAAACATTATATGTAAAACAACATGACTAATTGGATATTTACAATCTGCTCGAAGCAATGTTTTCGTCTTCAGAAACCAATATAGATTAACAGCAGTAAACAAGTATTTTTAAATACAGATTATCGTTGTTGTTTTCATTCTGTTTAAAGTGCTTTATAATTAAACATTGTGTGAGAAACTTCAGGTGTTGAACGATCTGCTTGTACAAAAAAACTCCACATTTTGTAATACACTTCCATATATGCAATTTAGATGTGTGACAATGTACGCCAGTTTCCGTATCAATAAAACAGAAACGTTTTGTATTACAGCTAGGTATACAAACGTAATACAATCTTATCTTAGATGAGGTACATTTCATCTTGGTAAACATACTAAATCGTTTTTATCAAATATATGTATAATATCTTGGTCTAAATACTTCCTGAATTCTTATCGGAGATACAGTTTAATACATTTTCGTCTGTATACTAAACAATTTCTTTTCATATCTAAAATATATAACATCTTGGTCTACATATAAGATCATTTCTTATCATGTATTACCTGTACAGCATTTTGGTCTATTCTTTATAAAAAAAATCTTATCATGTATTACCTGTACAGCATTTTGGTCTATTCTTTTAAACATTTCTTATCATGCATTACCTGTATTACCTGTATAACATCTTGGTCTTTATATCTAATAATTTCTTATCATGTATTATCTATATACATTTTGGTTTGTATACTCAATTATTTCTTTTCATGTATCGCGTGTATAACATCTTGATGTATATATTAAATCAGTTCATATCTTGTATTACCTGTATAACATTTTGGTCCATATACTTAATCATCTCTTATCAGACATTTACCACTACCTGTATAACATTTTGGTCCATAAACTTAATCATCTCTTATCAGACATTACCTGTATAACATTTTGGTCTAAATACTAATCATCTCTTATCATGTATTGCCTGTATAACATCTTGGTCTACACACTAATCCTGTCTTATCAGAGATTACGTTTATTACATATAGACATTCATACAAAATGGTTTCTAATGGTCATCATCTTCTGCATTAATTTAACAGATATTGCAATATACGTGTTTCATATCCAGGTAACTAAGTAACCAAATCAACTATAAACAAGATTACTCTATCGTATATTTTTTATTTCGATAATCTGTATGTTGAAAAAAATACTGTTGGATTATGTTAACAAACATATTTATTTGTCACATGAAAACCACCTTATCTCCCTGTTAATGTCATAGTATCTACACGATATGATGACATTATGGAATAAAGTAAAAAAAAAAAAAAAAAAACCCAACAAACTTACCATAACTTATTTCCAGTTGGTCTAGTTATTTTGTAGATCACTCGTCTTTTTCCTGTTGTCACAATTGCATCCACTTCGTAGTATAAGTAGATAATTGTACTTGTCCACTCTGTGTCCGCTGTACGTGTCCGCTGTATGTTGCCGCTATCTATGGTCCATGGTGACTATGATAGGTCCACTGGTTGGTAGTCGTACACACGTGGTTAGCTGCAATTATATACTCTTTCTATGCATTGGTTGTGGTATACCCGTTACCTATAGCAACCAGGAACAAGTCTATTGAAATCTTCAATCCATGTACATCAACACGAATTACACTCAATAAATGCAAAATAATCTCAATATTACGACTTCGCATATAACGTTCTCCATTTCCGTTTGTACAGAGGACAGTAGTTTTCCTTGAAAGGTCAAGATAGCGATGTGTGTATTGAAGAGGAAATTATACCATTTCATAACTATACTTCATGATTACTTTTTAGCATGGATGAAAAATCACCCAAAACATCTGTTCGGGTTTAGGTTCCTCAAATGTATTTGCAGTTTCTTATAGATGTTAAATTGTTAGACGAATTAAAATATCAAAAATACAATTCCTTTGTTCCCGTGGTACAATTATATCTATTGTTCTACACATGAACTAATATCCTTTAGCATGATTATCATACAAATATAATATTGGCGTCATCACTCCACAAATTCGACAACAAACATTATTTCTTACTCACCATTTTCCATTACTTCCAACTGTCTTGTTACCTCGACTCTTAAAATTCAGAACTTCTACTTTTCCACCACATGTGTACACTATCTTTTTTTCTTTTTTTTTCTTCATGTGTGTCGTTGAATAGATAAACACAATGTATGTACACGTGTTTCACTTGCCTTAAATCTCCTATAAAAATGAAGTATTTATGCACATCACGTTTTTCGATTAGAAGCAATCGTTAATCACCAAAATTAGTATCTGAATGCTATTCTGATAACTATATACTTCCCACGATATGTTTTCACGTCATGCGACATCAACTTCTTTTCTGCTGATAATGATCGTTTATCCCAAAATATTAGCCAACATACTGAAGTGTCCCTTTCAGGGTACAGCTACGCCGGTTCAAGGGCCTACGTAACCGAGATGGTATTTCGCGTTTTATTTATAGAACCACGCACCCGAAATATCAACTTGTAATAGAAATCAAAAGTGGATAGGGCCTCGTATATATTTATTAAAAATGAACAAACATTTTTGCAACTGATAGTATGGATTAAAGAACATTGATATTTATCTAAAAAATAGTGAGAAAAAAACAACGAATATTTGCAAATATAGGTCTTACCTCTAACACGAGAATTTTACTAGTATAAACTTAATATGTTTAGGTTTAATGCCAAATTAGCAGTATATAACATACCGCTAATTTGGCATTAAATCTAAACATATATTCTGAGATAATATTTGGAAAATGTTCAGACAATTAACGAATAACGTAGGTTAACTGTACAGAGACGTTGTCCTCTAAATATTGTATTCCATATTTGAGTATAAAATATCAATCGCTGATTGACCTCTGATTAAATATGTTTTTAGATATCTAACAATTATTTAATTTTGCTATATAAATGCATTTAATAAAAAATACACCATTACTATGTGTTTTAGAGTATTAACATTTATTCTTTATGATATACTCCAAACACATTATGTTAGCCTATCGTATCAAACTAATGGTACGACTGAAGGGTTGCTTGTTATATTTGATAGCGACCGATAATTTTCCGGAAATAGTTGCCCGATAAAAGGTTCTGGATATTATACATGTCCTCGATACCCACCTCCCACCCACACACTTTAGGAAGTAAACAACGACAGGATAGGAGGCAACAGCGATGAGAACACGAAATTACACTGGTATTTACAGCTAACATTGTGTTTATTTATATAACTATCACACCTAAATGTTATGATCATAGGAACGGTTTGCTCGTGACACATATCATCAACCGACGGACATTTTACACATAACTTGTTAACGTCAGAGAAGCCATACACAAAGTTAACGATATTCATAACTGATGAAAGGAATAATATGTCAAATCAATTAATAAAGTTAATGTTTCAGTTTCAAACAGAATCATAATGATGTGTTGTAACTGGGTCAAATAGCATTCCGTGTCTAATATTTTAAACGAGATCGGATACAAAGTTTTCCGCATTTTTAAGCCATACTCTATTTTAAAGAAAATATGAGAAAATCAAAAATACCAAGGGAATAGTTGGTCCGTGTGCTATTTTCTGTAATCGGTAAAAAAATAGGAATTTTTCGTTATAAGTTATTATTACTGAATTTGTTTTTGACTATTTTCAAGTCTGCCATCAGATATTTTTTTTAACTTATGACTAGCTTTAAAATCATAAAAACAAATAAGACTTCCCGTTCCCGAATCTCATGTTTTACCATGTGCTTGTTTTATTGCCGCAGTTTTGTGTTATTGACACATGCGTTAGGTAACGCAGTTGTCTAGGGGATCGCGCATACTACGACATTAGCTTAACGTGGAATTGCACAGTAGATACTTACGCCACCTTTGACTTTATATAGTCTTTCAGTCCTTTATGGTAGCTGATATCCCCTTATATGAAAGTCTTTCATTCACATTTCATTTATATGCAAATGTTTTGGCAGCGACCCCTAGCATTTTCATTCATACCGTAGTGACGCCATTTTGTGGTTCGCCAACTAATAGGCAGAAAAAACATTCAATTCGATACTTTCTTAACTAGCCATATGTATGTGAAATTTTGCTTCCCGCACTCTTCCACGAACCGGTCGGTTTCCTCTGACCTACGTAGTTACTGTAGTGTTTCTACCTAACTACAGTACACAGTTCCCGTCACAATGTTTGGGTCACTAACGTTTTGCTTTATATCACAAAAATTACCACTGCAAATAAGCCTGAAATTATACCACTGACCACATGAATATGACTGTTCTTTCCGGCAGAATTAAGAAACCCTCTCCAAAGTGTTCTGTCCATTTCAGTATAGTCACAGAATAAATCGACAGGACCAATACATTAACACAAAATACCTGTAAAGCTAACCATGCTTTGATAACTTTAGCTACTCGTCAAACAGCAAGAAGTCGAGCTGGCTGGATGTAGCCGAAGGTCACCGCCGCGGTTTACCTGTATTTCTGCAAAACCTGATCTCCTTTAGTAGAACATTGTACTAACCTGATCAGCCGGATTTAATGAAGTCGGTCTATATGTAGGGTCGAACTATGTTTGTGAGTTAGCACAAAGCTTTATCTGCCTCGGATGTAATATTAGACAAACCTAATCAGTCAGATTTTAGATGATTTTGTGCCGCTTTTGTAACACAAGTAGAAATTAAAAGAAGTACTAGCAGTGACGTATATATTGTAATATATACGTCTTTGGTGATACACATATTATTTGATAATATCCATGAATTGTTTACAGATAATGAACGGCAAAAGATGAAGTGCGATATTTTCTCTATCAAACATGTACATCACAAGATATTTTATCAGTATTAATGAAACATGATACGGTGTGTTCAAGACAGGGATTGAAAGACATGTTTGTTACAAACTTGTAAAATATTTATTCAATTTAATAACGAAGTGTTTCTAGTTACTGTTTTATGTTGTGAAAATATATCTTTGCTATATTATAGGGAGTTTTTTTTGTACTACAGTGGAACCTACTTATTATGATGTCGCTTATTATAATTCTTTTCCCATGTACCGATTTTATCCTATAACTAAGCAAAACAAATCGTTTATTATGGTATGGTCAAAGGTTGGTTTTCTGTCGTGAATGGATTTATAAGGTAAAAACTCAGGTAAGTTGTCCGTGTTTGACACCAGGACAAGAGGAAATATTTTGGGCAAAATTTTATTGAATTGTCGGGGACTTGAAATTCATGGGCACTCATCCATTCGATGGCCGATTGGCACTCTCATTATAGTACTATGCCGACTTAATCATCGAGTATCTTGACGTGTGAACTGAATGTTTTTGTAAAGATTGCGTGGCAAGGTACGTACTCTGAATCAGCGAATAACATGTTAATTTGTTCCGACATAGACAGTGTACAATATAAATGAAACTCCAGAATGATATCATGTATCACACCAAGCTTGAATAAAGCCACTATATAGTCCACGTCTCTGACGCACTGTCACCTTGATGTTGAAGTCAATATATTGTGTTTTGGGTTCATTGCGAGCGTAGCAAGCTTATCTGATTTTAATATTTTCATTTCTTGTGTACTGATTCTGTAACTGTTTGTGTATTATACTGCCCGCGCAATATCTGTCCCCTCCCTTCTAACATGTTTATAAACTCAGTGTTGAACGCTTGATACTTCCCCAGCATCAATTAGATTGATCAGCGTATTATTTTTTTTGGTGAAAATTAAAAAACTTGTAAATAAATAAATTTATTTTTTAATATATTCATGATTCATTCTACTCTGGCATTTTACTTTAAAAACTGCAAATTGGGGAAGTACAAGATGACTAGCCAAGACAGGTATCTAACTTAATTTTGTGCAACAATATATGGCTCAGTTCATATGCGTATCAATTAAACTTGAATGGTAACACCTGTCCGAAAAAATCTGGATCCGCCCCTGGTCAGTTCTAAAGAAAATAAAATAAAAACCGTTGAACATGGAAAGAGCATGACTAATGAAAATGACTGTTAAATATTATACAAAATAATAAACTTTGTAACAATGAAAACAACAAAAACATTAAATGATGTATATTTTCTTGTATTTCAGGCAGCACAGGAAGATTTTGAAGATGTGAATATATCCAAAGGGGCGGCGATTATCAAAAACAACTGGATTGAAACTGAAGATTATTATTATCTGCAATAAAGATTTAACACGTAATCATTAAATGGACTGCATGATTGCCAGACATCGTATACATGCTGTGCAGTTGTGGCCCAATATGGATTCAAAAGTGTCCATCAAAGACATGAATATAACTATGAGAAATGTCCAGCCAAACTCTCGTTTAAAAAGACTTCTAACAAAATATAATCTGTACAATTATGTAACAGATCGTACGAGAATAACTCCGGATTCTTCTACCTCAATTGATATTGTCCTTACCAATAATGATACTATTACTAAAAATGTAATTGTAACTCCTCCAATCTGTAGTGATCACTCTGTAATCAACTTCAGTGCTTCTTACTCTGTATTTAGACAACATGCATATACAAAAAATGGGCTCCTGTATAATAAAGCTAATGTTATCAATATGAATCAGATGATTGATAAGATAAATTGAGTAAGTATAAATGAACAACAAGATGTAAATGGTTTTAATACTGTACTTGTTGATACTATAAATTAAGCTATAGATGACTGTATACCTATAAAGAAAATTACTATCCGATCAAATGATAAGCCATGGATGTCAAACGAGATAAGGTTAAAACTAAGACAGAGAAATAGAATCCATAGAAAAGCAATACAGACCAATAATCCAGATCATTGGGTAAATTTTAGGAACATCAGAAATGAAGCCATCAGCTTAATACGTACCACTACAGATAGATATATACAAGATTTAGAACACTCTCTAAATGATCCCAATGTTTCATCATTTAAATGTTGGAAAACCACAAAAACGATTCTGAAAATTAACAACAAGTCAACCATTATTCCACCATTAAATGACAATAACACTATTTTGCTTCATCCACTTGATAAAGCTGAATGTCTTCTTGATTATTTTACAGCCATATCAACATCCTCTTCTGATAATATTGATCCTTTGCCTCCTATTCTTGAGTCTCCTAACATACTTAATAACATTTTATTTCAAGAGCAGGATGTGAGGGATCAACTGACTGTACTTAATGATAAGAAACCTACAGGATCTGATGAAATTACACCAGAAGTTATAAAACGTTTTTTCTCCATCACTAATAACTCCCCTTACTAAGTTATTTGATAAAACCATGTCATTTGGTTCTTTTCCTCTGTCTTGGAAATGGGCAAATATTAATGCTATATATAAAGGTAAAGGTGATAAATTACCGTCCAATTTCTATTACTTCATGTTTCAGTAAAATATTAGAAACTAGAAATATGTCAGAATGACTTGAAAGTCACCCTTTCATTCTGTATGATCATTTTCCGATAAGTCATTGACCAAGCTACAACGGATATATTTCCACCTGTCAATCAAAATGGTAAACAATTACCAGGTGTAAATATGTACATGCTGTTCAGTTAGCCATGCCAACACATGAAATTAATAAGAAAGCATGTCGCAAATATAACGTTAGTGTTGACTGACACCTCGAATACGGGGAGATCTGCGCGCTGACACGGTCACCTGGCATGGGCAGAACAGGTAACGTTAACGTTAATTGGAATATAACGATGTTGTTTCAATAAGTTTCAGAAAAGATTCAATCTTATATACGGATATATATATTTTTGTTATGAAATACACTTTTCCAAGTAGTTTTCTGATCGTCTGCAAATCCGACTGAATCGGCCATTGATATCGGCAGAATGTGTACGCTAAAGGCAGTCATTCCGACGAGGACCGCCAACAGACGAATTCGCGAGACATAAAGAACAGATCGGAATGTTCTTGGCTGTTTTGAACCCGTTGATATTTAAATTTCAAACTCAAACTTTTATCATTATCGGTTCAATTCGCATGGATGTCAGTCACCTTGTAAATTCCTGCCGGTTAATAGTATCACGCGACGTTGACTCTTTGTAGTACACAAACTTGCTAACTTCGCCACTTTACCCGTGTCGTTTTGACACATTCCTACGGTCAAGATTGAAGAGTTCAGCATGATTTTGCCCGAGAACGACATTTTAACCACAGTGATAAATGCGATGCAATTCTTCTTTATTTTTCCCGATACGTTATTACGTAACGTCCTGCAAAGTTGAGCCTACTTTACTCGAGTTTATTTATCCGATTCTATAGTATTATATGACTTAAACTTGCAATTTTTCTGCAATTGTTAAATTGGCAATGCAATCAGGGATTATTCAACGAAATTTAGCAGTTTTATTGCTGCGAGCATATTTCAAAACATTTCCGAAAATCCTCGAAAAATTTACGAGAAATGGTCGGGACCAAGGACTGGTTTTGGATTGTTCTTGAGTCTTTCTTGACACTTCATTTTCCCCTTAAAAAAGTGCGCACTATACGCAAATATTAACCGTAGTCGTTAGTCAGACATAAAATATCCAAATCAGTCAATAGCAATTTATAATAAGACAGTTTACCCCTTCGGGAACCTCAAATGTGCATGATTCATACTCGGAACATCTTTAAGTTATATGTAATTCCCGTTGGAAATTTGGAACGCCTTTAGGTTTTATGCTATTCCTTTTTAAAAAGGAAATCGATATCTTAGTTATCCGAGAGCTTGTAATTAGCGCCTGATATATCCCGACAGAAGCAAGACACTTTACAGCCCAACAAACAGAGGTCAAAACCGGGGCTGAAACCAAAATTGATAGTCCCCACTGGGGTTCCCCCAGGGGTGACTGAAAATAATGTCCAAGCATTTATATAACCACTTACTGGAATTTGACAAAATACCAGTCTGGAATTATTCCTGGTGACTCTACTGTTTATCAATTATTATCCATGTATAATACTATTATACAAAAACTTGATGAAGGACTTGAAATAAGTTCAATATTTTGTGATGAAAGCAAGGCATTTGATCGTGTCTGGCATCCTGGCTTATTATTTAAACTTGAAAAATATGGTATTAAAGGAAATCTCCTTAACTGGTTGAAAGATTACTTAACTAGTCGATAACAAAGTGATAACGAAGGCTTCTTCTCATCATATAGACATGTAAGTGCTGGTGTCCTCCAGGGATCAGTCCTCGGTCCGGTTCTATTTCTGATTTATATAAATGATATTACTGAATGTCCGATGATATATCTCTTTTTAAGGTTATACAAACTACTCCACTCGATGCAGCCAATAGTCTATCAAGTGATCTTTAAAATGTATATATGGTCTAAGAAATGGGACATCAATTTTAATCCTACTAAAACGGAATCTTTAACTTTTAGTAAGAAAAGAAATATAATATCTCCTGATATCATTTTTCAAAATAAAACTGTAGCAAATGTGTCAACTTATAAACATCTTTTTTTCCCTGAAGATGGTAAGTGGCATCGCCATATCAACTTTATTTATAATAAAGCGTATAAACGTATACATTTATTGAAATCTGTAAAATATAAAATGAGTCGTTAAACACTAATCACTATATATACCGCTTATATTAGACCTATACTAGAATATGGTGATATCATTTTTGATAATTGTACTCAGCAGGAGGCAACTTTACTTGAATCTATCCAAATAGAGGCTGCTCGAATAATTACAGAACTGCGTAAAGGGACCTCACACTATAAACTTTATTGTGAACTTGGTTGGGACACCCTTGCTGCAAGACGGAAAAAAACACAGACTTATTTTTCTATACAAAATTCTTACAGAAACTGCACCCACTTATTTAACTGAATTAATTGAACCTTTTTTCAACAATATGAACTCATACCTATTAAGAAATGTAAGAATCTTAACAATTCCTGTGTGCAGAACAAATAATTATGCCAAAAGCTTTATTCATTCTTCACTTAAAGATTATAATGAACTTGCAGCAAGGTTTTACCTGACTAACATCACATCACTATACCAATTTAAAAAACTTTTAAGAAGAGCTGTAAGTGACATCATGTTACTAGACACAAGTAGAAACTTTACCTATGTCAACGCAGGTGATAGAAAATACAACATCATACTCTGCCAACTTAGAAATTCTTCAAGTAAGCTTAATTTTGATCTTCACAGAGATCATCTTACTCAATCACCAACTTGTACCTATGGTATTGCCCATGAAACAGTACAACATTTTTCTCTCTCATTTTTAACAAGTATGATGAACCACGTAAAACCCTCAAGGATAAATTATTACAAACCAATGTAAATATATTTGAATGTACTGCCGAGTTTTTCACAGCTACACATAGATTTCCACATATATAATACATTATATATTTCTGATTTGATATTATGTCTCTTAAGTATGAAAACCATCAGTTACGACTGTGCTTCTACATAATACATAATAAACATTGTGTGTCATCATCACCCTTTCCTTTTCCTATGGCCTTTTCCCCCTTTTGATCTGATAGGCATATATTTTGTATGTTTTGTATGCTATGTATCATTCATCATAATTATTGCATAGTATTGTTTTATATGATAGAATAATTACTATGTAAGGGCAATCTCATAATGGTGGACCAATTCAAAACCTCAGTTTGCATTTTTCTGTTCACTCAATTTTGCAATTCATAATTATTATAGTAAGAAAAAAAACTAAAAAGAATGTAAAATCCTTGATTTACTTATTTATTAACAAATCGCTACAAAATATTGATTTGAATCCACCAATCCTTCAAAATCTGCCAAATTCTTTCTTTCGTTATTATCTTAACTATGAAAATCAGAATGCAGTATCCATGACTGGCCCCAAAACTCATGGGTGGATGACTATTGACTGATAAGCCAATATGGACAATTTTGGTCTGTATCCCATGAGTGGAGGGAATCCTGTCACAGATACTGGATTCGAGGCTTTAAAAAATTTGGAAAAGATAGTGAATACACTATTTCATATATTACAACAACTCTTAAATGTTGTCTTTAATCTCGAGAATTAACGAACTCGAACAGATATAAATCATTATCTGTTGTCACCCCTCGGATAGCCGGTAGCTTTTGCACTGCGTGTATCATGCTGTGCAGTCAGTTAAATAATCAACTTTTTCATAAAACTTGACCTAATTTATTATCTTTGTTTTGAGCGATCATCGCTTTTCACAACACTTATCACATTATAATCAGCTCGCCGGAGCATCTGCTATTAATATTGTTTTGTATAAGGACGTGCCTCCGTGTGTAAAAAGTATGCGTGCACGTGTGTACACGGAGGCGGAATGCTGGTGTTTTTAGTGGAACCGGATATCAGAGTCACAGGGACATGAGGATTTGCTTTATTTGGACCTAAACTAAGATGGTTAGGGTAATTTTACACGTTGAAGGGGTTAAGATCATCTTTCGGAAAAAATGCTAACGTAATAATGATCTTAAACCCTAAAACGTATTAAGTTAATTTGAACACCTTAGTTTAGGTCCAAACAGCTGTAAGAATTTCTCAGGTCCCTGTAGTCAGAGTTGACCGCTATGCCATACGGGGATTATGATGTTTAGACGGAGATTTCATTCGATGTAATTGTTGGATTGTTTGCAAATTCAATTTCAATCTGAAGTTTCTATAACCAGTCTGCATGAAGAGTAATAATGTTCAAGGACTAAGTTGAGAGAAAATTGGTTTGATAATCAATACAGATGTATTTTAGTTAGCAATCATAAACATGTGTTACACGTGCAATGAAATATGACTGAAATACTGTTTGAACTTCAGAATAATTAGCCAGAACCTGATCATGAGCAAAGGAGCACTGGTCATAGGCGCGTCCCGTGGGATCGGCAGGCAGATCGCTCTAACATTGTCAAGGAATAACTACAAAGTGGGCGTGGCTGCAAAGACCGCAATATCATCAGATACACTACCCGGGTCCATCCACACAGTGACTGCGGATATTGAGGCTGAGGCTGGTAGGGGTACACCCATTGTTTGTAACGTCCGGTCCGAGGAAGACATCAAGGGTGCAGTTCAAACATGTATGAAAGAGTACGTGTCTAGTACGTTTTTGTTCAAATTAATATATAACTAAGTTTCAAACCAAAAACAATGTTTGGAGAGGTACAAAAAAACCTTTGATTGTTTAAGTGTGGATTAAGCTAATCACTTATGTATAAATAATAATAATCTCTTAATCTTTGTTTCTTTGTGTCACAGGTTTGGACGATTAGATGTAGCTGTCTATAATGCAGGAGCCATCTTGTGGGATAAAGTAATCAACACTAACACCAAGAGATTTGATCTTATGAATGAAGTAAATGCACGGGGAGCTTATATAATGGTACAGGAAGTCCTGCCTCACTTCCTGGAACAGAAATCCGGTAAAATTATACTGGTGTCGCCGCCAATATATAACAGGTAGCTGGTTATCTATGTCTCGGGAAAGTATCAGTAGGTGTGAACAGAACATAGAGTTATAGCTGGTAAAATGTGTCGTTGTGTTGGCATGGAAACGTAAAGAGTACAGTAGTTGATATTTAAGCTTTGTTTTAACGAACTACTAAATTGCAATTTCCTTTTGTGATAGAACTATAAGTTCGGTGGAAGTCTCAAACAAAAGGCAAGTATTATGAATGCAAAAATAAATCACAAGTATGATTTGAATAAATAGAATATAGTGAACCACATATAGCAAAGTTTTAAACTTTACATTTAGGTACATGTATAGCACTTGATAGAAGGACTGATTCTGTTCTGTATGTCTTTTTTCTACTATAAAATTGAAGTAAATTAGTCCTGTGAAATGCAGCTACGGATTAGCATTAAGACGGGTAACAGCTTTGAAACATTCAACGGAACAAGGGTATTAAACTATGATAGTTTAGAGCAGCAAAGATAATAGATTATATATCAGCATGACTTCATATAGGTCAAAACAGATTTAAATGCAATGAAAATATTAATGACACAATAATATGTATAAAATTCATCTAAAGTAAAAGTAAATGTATCATGTTGTATAGTAAATAAAAGTAGTACATGTGGTGGCGTAGGAATATCTTCCCATGGTTTTGACATGGCCGTATGACATAGGACAATGGGTCAGTTATGTGATAAATCGTAACATAAAATCATAACGAGACGCCTTGCAAGCCTCTTTATCACAAACAGTGTCCATAAATAATTATATTGAGGAACCTTTATATTTCTATGTCAAAATTTGTAATATTGTGGGAGAGTGACATAGAAACATGCTGATTCATATTGTGTATAGTGAACACACCCTATTTCTGTTAAAATTCTAGGTTCTTTAAAGGGAAGACAACGTATGCAATGTCAAAAGTTGGTATGACAGTACTTGTCCATGGGCTGGCTAACGAACTGCGAGGAACTGGTAGGTGAAAGTTAATACTTGTGGTCATGGAACGAATAAGAGTGTGTCAGTATTCCAATAGTACATACATTATTTTCATTCAGTCTATGAAAAAAAAGTGTATACACCGTCACAAGAGAAACCATCTTGTCAAGAGCTCATTTAAAATTTATCGTGTAAAATTAAAGAATTTAACAAAACAATTTTAAGTCGGTAAAAAATTCACCAGAACCATTATTTCAAGTTTTATTTTTGGGCAGGAGTCTCCATTAGTGCCTTGTGGCCAGCTACAGTCATCAGAAGTCACGTGACTGATAAGATTAATGTACCATTGAAACTCATGAGGACGCCTGACATCTTTGCTGACGCCGTTGTGAAAATAGTAGAGGATCCAACAGAAAGGTGGGTAAAGTCAAAGAATTGATATGTTGATAAATATTCTCCTGGTAGCTCACTTCGTTTGTTGTAAAATCTTCTTTTCGTTTTTTAGAATAAAAACTGATATAGTTTTGACTTAATCTTTTAATTAACATTAATTTCTCTTATCATCAACAAATTGCTTTGTGTCAAAAGTGTTATACGACATGTTGCTTAGACTCAAGGTCAACCATCTTAGAATAGTAAATATTTCCATTTCCACTGGTGTCTCGGAACAGTACATAGCCATTTCTTGTCTTTCGTGAAACGTTCAACCTAGATTATTCCCGGACAGTGTTCGGGATCGACACATAAAAGTATTTCAAGAGGCCAAGTGCATCTCTCTGTATATAACAATAATTTTATTAGGACAAAGGCCATTAGCATCAAAATTACTAAATTAAAGCTGAGTATTCAAATGCATGCTTTTGCAAGAATGGGTTATCTTGGGTAGCATTCTGTTTAAGAAAATATTTTCCATCTTTTTATCGTAGGTAAGTAAAGGTATCTCAATGATCCCAGCAAACTTAACACAGCACCGCTGTTGCTTTTTACCTTTGATCAACATTGAGCAATTTTACTGACGTGTGTTAGCAACTTAAGACGAGATTTGTAAATGGTCACAGGAAGAATTCTTATCTGGCTAACTGACTTTCGATACATTTGTACACTGTTTTGTTTTGTTTTAATAATTTCTTTGATGACACAATTATGTGTCACACGAGTTTAGTGGTCACATGAAGTTATAAGATTTTGATCAAGGTAATTCCGGACGTATTGTTGTGAAGTGAATTCTGTTCTATACTACCTGGTATTACAAAACGTTCTTCCTTCACTGTTAAGAACGTTCCTAACTTTACATTCTTATAAGCCTTCCAAAGTTTAGATTTCTGCTATTTGATTCCTTGACATAAATCTATTAATAATAAACTATGTCAATTTACTTTTGAGGGAGTATATCCCCTTGAACAAATTTGATTTTGATAACTGAGAACTTAAAGTTAGTAATTTTGTGATTTCTGGGAAACTTTTTGTTAAACCTTCTTACCACACACGTGGATTAGCCACGTAATAATACGACATCTTAAGAATGACCAGACCAGTTCGCTTACTGTAAAAGATCACATTTCCTGGAGCAAACTCGCAGGAATATTTTGAAACTGGCAACTGAAGCCTTTAAAGTCCTTTTCAAGACAGGTCAGAAAGCAGCATTATCGCAATAGGTTTATCACTGTGACCTTATTATCATTATTGATGGAATGAGCACGCCTGTTAGCTGAGTGAAATAACAAGAGGTTAGATAAATCTCGTTACTACAGGTGGGATGTCCGCATATCTTAATCGAGTGTGAAGCGATCTGTTTTGCTGTAATATATTTATATTGCCTGATTTAAACACCTACCTTGTAGGTTGAACGGCCAGGCGTTGATAGATGAAGATTACCTGAGGACGACGGGCCTTTCTGACTTCACCAAATATCGCTGTGACAGTGAACATGAACCTCCTCGTATGATGCCTAAAATATTCCCGTCCCTTTTTGTTGAGGAGGAGGACCAAAACCTACGTATACCAAACAATAAAAGCCAGCTATGAATTTTGTGTTCCGTTTTGATTACGTCCCTCAATCAGCAGCACATGACTATATAAACAGTGATAACTAAAGTCAACTATGATGAACGTGTGATTGTGTGCGGTGTTATTGACGCGTTTTTGTTGGAAATCTTTTGAATACGTGGTTCCGAGAGATTTATGGTCTGCGATGTTAGTTGTAAATTTTGTTACTTGTGAAAGGTTCACGTTTCTCAGTATTATCTACATTGTACGTTAAAAGAATTCTCTTCATTTTATCTTCGAGGCGTCACGTTATAGCAAACAAAACAATACCACGAAAACAATCCCATATGTAGTTTTTTGTCTTTTTATTTTATAAATAGAAGATACTCATATTTGCATTATTCTTGACTCCTGGTTGTATTGCGGAAACAACTATGTCTTTAAACACGACAAATTGGTTTTCAAGTTCACGTGTTTGATAAAATAGAGGAGAATCACACGATGTGTGAATAAATTGTTTTTACCATACATTATGCATTGCCAATTTTTGTAAATAGGATAAAAAAAAATCGAATTTGACCGTGTAAAAGTTTTAAGTATCATAAAGCTTAACTGCAATAATGAAGGGCTTACAAAAGTCTGAAAATATCTACATGATTAACCATATAATCAGTGAGCATTTCGAGAACACCGATATATGTTTGGTTTTGTTGACTTCAACCGAACTCCGTATTTTGACAGAAGTATATCGTATCGTGGAGTTAAGCTTCTTGACATTTCAAAGCTCATATGCTATTTTTTAAGTATTTTAAAATGTTTAATTGGCATACAAGGGCTACGATTTCATAAGAATTATGGAAATATTTTTTTGTACGAAATAAAACATTATGTTAACCATGAAGACAGTTATATATATGTGTATTTATTGTTGTTTTAATCAAAACAAAACATGTTTTCCAATCCAGAAAAAAAATCTCAATATCCATGATATAAATTATTTCCATTTCTTATTAAATAAGCCAATGACACATGTTTAAATGGTTCTTTGGGATTCGTGTTCGGTCCATATTGTCGTATTTGGATGTTTTCTGGACGGTACGTCTATCGACTTCTGCCGGAATGACTTACATGTACTAATTAGGCTCGGAATCACTTACATGTACTAATTAGGATCGGAATCACTTACATGTACCAATTAGGTTTAATTCAAGGGACTAACAACACTGTTGCTATGTGATGAAGGAAACAGTGACAGGTTGGCAATGTTTATCTTGTTTGTTCACTCATTACCAATAATCACAATGACAAAACAAGTCCTTAGTGATGAGATACAACTATGTCCGAAACTTATTGACCTATTGACTCCACTTTATAAGTTATTGATTTGTTTGTTTGGTAGTGATATTGACAACTTTCCCATAAAGAAGGAAACAAAATCCATGGATTCGAGAGGGATTATCCTCATAATTTCGAAGCGCCATCTCAAGTGAGTGATTATGGGTAAAAAGTAAATTGTCTGCTTGTCGGAAGAAACGCTCAATAAATTATTGGTCGAATTCGTTAATAAAACAACCAATCCATACAGATGAGATAATGATATAGAATTTGTAGACAATATGTATCTAGAAGGCGTTGCTGTTTTCCAGTTGACAAGTTCATAGCCTGCTGAAAGTTTCAGGACATACAAGTGTGATGGGCGGACGGTTGCGAAATATGGAAACGTATACCACAACCTTAATATACCACAACCTTAATAAACCATTGTGCATTTACAACGTGTTTGTCTACTGTTTTTAAATTAAATTATAAAGAATGCCCAAGATTTTGTTTTGGTATATACGGTATATACCGAAAAAAATAGTGCACTTTGCATAAATCCGCTTATCTTGGTCATTCCTTTAATATATATAAAGAGCCAATTGTAACGATCTTCGTTACGGCGTCATGCATTGGATAAATCTGTCGGTCCAAGACATGGAAACATGTCTTTCATAAAAGTAGATATGGTATCGCATAGTTGGAAATAAAGTAGCGTCCTGATGCCGACTATTAATCTAGTAGAAAGAACCGGCTATTAGAAGTCTTGTTCGCAAACAGGACGTCTAAACCTAGACAATCCTAGTTCACACAACAAACTCTCAAGAAACGTATGGCTGATATAGTTATAAGATGGGAAGTTCGACAATCGTCCTATTTTTACCAGTTTGTATAGGTTTTGTGTCCGCTCAGCAGCTAATGTGGTGTATGAAGATGGTGTTTGCAGATGATGCGTCCACTCAAGAGCTAATAAAAAATATCACCTTACAAAAAGTATAATTTGGACGAGATAACATGTCAGCTCACTCAGTTGTAATATTCTGACGACGGGCTAACCTAGGGAGACAATTGAAACAGCAGACAAGAAAAAGTAACACGTATTTCATAAGTAAATGAACGTTTGTCCTCACATTTTGTGTCTATTAGTCTAGTGATTGTATTCTATTACCATTGTATCGCTCTGCATGATATATGATAAGGTGTTTGTTAATTCTGACGTCATTATCATCATCAAGTCATTTATAGTAGATATATAGGTCAAGATATGTTCTTTTAATGGATTAAACATGCAGAACATTATTCCTTTGTTTCAATAAGGAAACTTTTTATGATTGTTTGATTGTGGGCGTAAATATTTCTATATGGAAACAATCATGTATAGTAGATAATATGGTTTCTGTTGCCTCGCTGGTAGAGTTGAGTTGGGAATATATTTTAATGGACTGAATGCAAAGTTTCTGTTGTCACTGAATGTGTCCCACATGCTTAGTAGGATGTTAGAGATGTCGCCAAAAAGATTCGCACGTGCAGTGTATATCAGAAGGTAAATGTAAAAGTTGATTAGATAACCACTAGAAATACAAACTAAGGTTGGTTTAATTATGTTAACATCTAAGGTCATTTATGGACGTGCCTCCATGTGTGTAGTGTAAGCGTGCTTGCGTGTGTATATTCAGGAGACAGTGTATATTGTCGTGATGCCGACTTTATAGTGCTATCTCACTGAAATACCATGCCGAAGGCTCCCGGCACAGCATTCCGCCCGGTCACATTATACTGACAATGGATGAACCAGTTGTTGCCATTCTCCTAAATGCTGAACGTAAAGCAGGAAATAACAACTACCATTTTAAGGACTTTGTTTTGTCAAGATCTAAGGAATCACTTTGTTAAACATTTAGTATGTCGACGATGACAGCCAATAGAAGGCAATGTTTTCACTGCTCCATATGGCGAGTTCCTCAAGTTGGGACCCAAACAAAGTAATGTTTAAAAGAACAGTCGTATTATTCGTTTGTGTCTATGACGGGAGCATCACGTACATGATACTATTTTTGTATACTTGACACGGTGTGGTTGTTTTGAGGAGCTCCCATCCTGCTTGTTTCTTCAATGTAAAAATTCCATACAATGTTTAACACGTCGTACTATAGTTTGTAGTGCGTTATAAGTCATATATGAAGCTTCTGTACAGGTCTTGATTGTATTAGACATGCCTTAAGTATAGTATCTATTGACATATATTTGATGGTTTTGTTCTAAATACAATCGATTCGATTTCACGGTGATTTGTTAACACACTAACTGAGAAATCTTACAGTGATCACTTTTGAATAACTGTATAAACAAAAATAAAACACAAGTTGGTAAGCACATAAAGCATATTTATTTCGTTTTATTTTAAATTATAAAACATTTATTGTAATAAATACTGCAATTTTCATGCATACTTTTTTAATTTGTTACTGTTTAAATACCATGCAATTTATGCATCGCATGTCTGCCCCTCTTAATCTAACTTGTAACAAAAGAATCAGAATACAACTACGTATGAAAGCAGAGAATGTACACATCTGTCATTAAACTTTATCAAACTATTATTATATCATAAAACACATTTCTCTTACTTCCATGAAATAAAATACGTCTTCTTTACACTGGTGTGTGAAGGAAGCCATTTCCAGATCAATTTAATATTAATAACATTACTGAAAATTAATGAAAATGGATTTCGTACTTTCACATGTATCAGAAAGAATATATGGAGATTTTTAAAATCTAGCATACTACTTTTTCTAAAGCTTGCTGCAGGTCTCTAATCAAATCATCAGGGTCCTCCAATCCAACACTAGTGTAAAAAGAAAGCAACAAAGTGGATATAACTTCTAATGTCCCTGCAAATTCACATTCAGATATGATTAGATTGCATTTTTAAATATTCTAATAATCTGAAATACCTCATCGTTCACGAATTTCTTTTTCTATTTTCCGAGTATTTCCTGTAGCGAATGTTGGATACAAATAATATTGTTAAATTATGTTTACAAAGAAAGATCCGTTTAGCCATTACTGAACAGTGGTCTTGAATATACTAAAAAGAGACCTAGGGTGAACAGAAATATGTTACGAATGATAAATACTACAAATGAATGTATACTTTCCGAAAAAGACGTTTTAGATATTTTCTAAAACTCTCGAGTTAGTGAATGCAATAAAGTTTCAATTAAAATGTTGAATAGAGAAACAAAAGGATGTTGAGCAGAATTATATCTCTCACGTTCTAGCCGGGAAAGATCAGCTTGTCACCTTTTAGGGGGAGATAGTCTTGTGCCGATTAGCACGTGTTCAATTGTGACGTCATTCAAATGTGTCACCGGCAATTATGACGTCATCAAAAGTGAATGACGATATTCATACCCCACATGCTTTTTATTTATTTTTTATTTTTGCAAACATGGCAGACTACTGTCGGTGGAGTTGTGACTTAAATACAAGTGTGGGAGAAATATAATCATCCCCTACCTTGAGGGTTAGACAACTAAAAAACATCACCCCTCGGGTAGGACATTTCTCTGTCACACCCTCAAGGTAGGGGAAGACTCTAGTATTTAAAGCAAGACGAACACTACATTTTGCCCTTTATGATGTACACACAAAACATTTGGATAAATATCAGATTTTCTGAAAGACTTGATTTGTGGTGATGATTTTCTTTATGTTAAAGTAATCTTTTCGATACTTAGGTATTGCCTTGTATATTCAGCTAGCGGAATCATTACGCCAAAATATTTTTTAACATAAAGTCACTTTTGAACTTATTAACGGGGAAAAGATCAGTTGGATTGTAGTAAAACAAACATCCATAGGAGTAGATAAAAATCCAATCAATATTGAAACAAACTTTGAATGTGTACATACAACTCTACTAACTGAAGGGTGACAGATGGTGTCAAAATATAGTATATATCTTACCTTAATCTCACAAGTCCGTCAGATATCCCACCACTTCGTCTATCTTCGTCATTCATCAACATTGGCCCGTGTGTCATAGTGCCCGGATGTTCTATGAGACTCTCCACGCCCCCAAGTGACACTGCCAGAATGATGACGTGGAGTCCCTGTGGATACAACACTTATTGCAGTTTCAGAAATAATTTTAACGAGTTCATGTGATTTTTTGCACACATCATGTCATAATGGTGTGGCATTACGTTGTTTTTTATAAGTAGGGAATATAAAAATGATAGTTCTTAGGTGACATAACAGTAAAGTAAGAATAAACCATAATGTCCAATGTTTCTGGAAGATATTAGTTCTCTCCTCGAACAATACAAACCTTCAATGAAAGAATATGCTTTCGAATTCATGCGAAAAATCAAATATGTCTTTCACGGAATATGAATATTTTATAACATTTGCAGTGCGATATAAATTGACGTTTTTATTTCAATGTTTGCGTTGCATGTTCACTATGTATGAATCTACCAGATAAAAATAGCTGTCAAAGAAACGTGACGGTTTGAAAACCGTTTCAAATAATAAAAAGCATAGCTTAACATCAATTGCTCAAAAAATATTAAATTAGTTGGATTATTGGTTTTTCCTCATATTTTAATCGACAATTCAACGTACAGTTGTTTGAACGATGTTTATTGATTTGCATGCTGGCATAATTGCCATGGGTTACATATCTTAGATATTTAAATTTGCGCGCATTTCGGAGAATAGCCCGTAATATTTGTCCTATATGTCCATGAAGATTGTATTAGGGCGAGTAATTCGTGCGATTTGGTATTGACCAATGAGGTTGGAGCATGTGTGTGGGGTAGGATACGGGTGATTATTATTGTGTCATTCTAGCTTCAGACGTAGACGGAACGTAGAAGTTTAAAAATTTAAATTGAATTTAAATGTATTCCATATGGAATGTTAGTTATATGAATACATTGAGAATGACTGACGTTCCATCGGGCGAGTAGTTACCTGCATATATCATGGTTGTTGTTTGTTTAATACGAGATTTAGTATATAGAGGACACCATGATGCACGTTGCGTGGATGTAGTTTTGGAGGCATCTAAGGGACTGGTAATTAAAAAATTAAAAGAAGATATTCTTTTAAAGTAATGACTCTTATAAAACTTAAGAAGGGATTAGTAATTGGATTCCCACCTCTACTAGGGTTCTGCCTCCTTCCAATCCACCTTTGACCTCAAACGACATCATTCCCCCAAACATCTTCATTTGTTGCTTGGCCACGGCGTGCTGGGGATGTGACGGTAGACCAGGGTACATGACCCACTCGATCTGTAACGAAGCCGATCATATAGGGACCATTTGATTCTTTTCGTTTACAGTAAAAGTTGGACAGAGGTAGCACTTCTAGTAGTGTGACATTTCTGTAATACCGTCTGCTGAATAGTCCGTTCATATGCACAAGCATCTGGTGTAAATTGCAGCTTTTGATCTGTAATTGATCTCACGTGATGTTAAATGGAAGTGTCCATCAAAATTCGACCCTTTGCGATTCAATGGTTTACTCTGTTATGATTTCGTTTCTTAGTTTGGTTTAAAATTGATTTATATCTTTCTTATTTATACACTGAATAACAATGTAGCAAATTCCACTAGCGAAGTTTATAAGGCGGATACATGAACTTATACAAGCTCGTCATTTTGTAAAGCGATACTCGTTTAATGTGTACACCATTATATCGATTCTACTATTAACACTGAAACATCTATTGACCCATACGGGCTAATCAGTGAAATGTTCTCACTGATTGGTACTAGTTGACCACTAAAACTCGCCATAGAAATTGCTGATTCATGCCAGTCTTTGTGATCTTTTTCTAATGATTAACAATGCTTCTTGACCAGCTGTAAAATAATTACTAACATCAGATTTATCGCATTCCTAAAGCACGTTTGACTGCGACATTTCCTAGCTCTTGTGACATTATATCCCCACGTTAAGTCTGCGTTTATACCGAATGTAGTTGATTATCAGATAGAAAGGGGCATCACAGTAAAAGTGGTACCATCTCCTGGCATTTCAGTTAATATCATGACTCTTTCCAATGATATTTTTATCGATGAAACTACCATATTTCTGTAAAATATGCGGTAAAACAACAATAAAATGGAAGCAGAATACTAGAAGTATAACACACGAAGAAAATATCTGAGCTCGAACGAATACGAAGAAATAACAAAAGGAACTGAGACAATACCAAAAACAAGCCACCACGAACCCTACAAAAACCAGAAGTTAAGTCATTCAGATGCACCATTTCGTGCACTACATGTTGTACCCGTTATCATGTATCCTGTCACTACAAGAAAGTCATTCTATCACTGGTCATTGACACATATATATAGAAAATGTTTATACGTAAGCAAGCTTTAAAGTGGCAGAACGATGTTTGGTTGTAAAATCCACAACAATGGAGGCTGCTTTGTTAAGACCAATCAAACTTATTGACAATGAAAGTGATGTCGTCGCTTTTGCCATAAAAATGATGTGCCAATAGGACTATTACCTGTATTAGTGGAATGGTTGGTTGGTTCTCCTTTTTAAAATCAGGCGGATTTCACTCGATAATTGGCGGAATTAATAAGCTATTTGAATGGTTATCACAAGATGTTTTCAAAACAAAATGATTAAATAATTGGTTATGAGAAATGCTTACCCTATCTGAGCACCTGCACGATTTGGCCTCAGACAATTTTTCGAGTTAATATTCAGTCTTGCCTTTTATCTTTCTTTTCGTTTTGTTTTTGACATTTATCCCATATTGCAGTCTCAAAAAACTAAAGCGTTATGATAATATTTCGCAATGGTTTTTTACTAACTGCAGGAAACAAAATAGGCGGCTTTGGACTGACCTTAGGATGTTTCTCCAGGAACTCCGCCACCTTTTGTCCGTTAGAGCTGTGACGTTCCATTCGTATTGGCAGTGTTTTGATGCCCCGTAGCAATAAACTGGCATCATGCGGAGACTAGAGAGGAGAGAATGGGATGAGGTTTATTGGGATCAGGGAAGGTCAAGAGAAACAAACCGCCATACAGGAATAGTCGAACTCATTACTTAGTAAACAGTACCTCGAATACAACATTCATCTCGAAGTGGTGTATTGGTTACACTTCATTCCTGTAATGTTTTCATCAATTGTACGGCCGGAAGTCTAACAGGAGAGCTCATGAAAATATCAGTATCACTTTTGAAGTCTTGGTAGGATTAAAATGTCTCCTTATGTATGAAGATATAGTAACCAAGAAAAGGCATGTCTGGTATCGAACGAAACAGATATACACTAGAAACAGTGCCAAATGAATTTACATGAAAATGGTGTAACGAAAGTTTCTATTAGGGCATAAGTTACCGATGACATTTTTCTGTTTCATTCCATCCCATATGACAACGCATACGTTTAGTAGCAATCTGGCTTATGGTTCCAGTTCCTTTTTAGTCACCCCTGAGGGAACGCCAGAGGGGACTATTAATTTTGGTTTCAGTCCCAGATTTTGACCTGTTTGTTGGGCTGTTAAGTGTCTTGCTTCTGTCGGAATATACCAAGCACTAATTACGACCTCTCGGATAACTCAGATATCGATTTCCTTTTAAAAAAGGAATAGCATAAAACCTAAAGGCGTTCCAAATTTCCCACGGGAATTACATATAACCTAAAGATGTTCCTAGTATGAATCAGGCACCGTTGAGGTTCCCGAAGAGGTAAACTGTCTTATCATAAATTGCTATTGACTGATTTAGATATTTTATGTCTGACCAACGACAACCGTTAATATTTGCGTATAGGCCTAGTGCGCACTTTTTTAAGGGGAAAATGAAGTGTCAAGAAAGGCTCAAGAGCAATCCTTGGTCCTTGGTCGCGACCATTTCTCTTAAATTTTTCGAGGATTTTCGGAAATGTTTTGACATTTGCTCGCAGCAATAAAACTGCTCAATTTCGTTGAATAATCCCTGATTGCATTGCCAATTTAACAATACGAAAAATTGCAAGTTTAAGTCATATAATACTATAGAATCGGATAAATAAACTCGAGTAAAGAAGGCTCAACATTGCAGGACGTTACGTAATAACGTATCGGGAAACATAACGAAGAATTGCATCGCATTTATCACTGTGGTTAAAATGTCGTTCTTGGGTAAATTCATGCTGACATGGGTAAAGTGGCGAAGTTAGCAAGTTTGTGTACCGCAAAGAGTCAACGTCACGTGATACTATTAACCGGCAGGAATTTACAAGGTGACTGGCATCCATGCGAATTGACCCGATAATGATAAAAGTTTGAGTTTGGAAATTAAAAATCAAGGGCTTCAAAACAGCTAAAAACATTCCGATCTTTTCTTTTCGAATAGAATTGTTGAAATTACAATTGTTTGGTGTTCTGCATGTCTCGCGAATTCGTCTGTTGGCGGTCCTCGTTGGAATGACTGCCTTTAGCGTACACTTTCTGTCGATATCGATGACCGATTCAGTCGAATTTGCAGACGATCAGAAAACCACTTGGAAAAGTGTATTTCATAACAAAAAAAAATAGTTGAAGATTTATCCGTATATAAGATTGAATCTTTTCTGAAACTTATTGTTGTGAAAACAACATAATTATATTCCAATTAACGTTACCTGTTCTGCCCATGCCAGGTGAACGTGTCAGCGCGCAGATCTCAGTCAACGCTAACGTTATATTTGCGACATGCTTTCTTATTAATTTCATGTGTTGGCATGGCTAACTGAATAGCATGTATTTATTTACACCTGGTAATTGTTTATCATTTTGATTGACAGGTGGAAATATATCCGTTGTACCTTGCTCAATGATTTATCGGAAAATGATCATACAGAATGATGGGGTGACCCCGTATTCGAGGTGTCAGTCAACAATAACGTTATATTTGCGACTTGCTTTCTTATTAAGTTCATGTGTTGGCATGGCTACCTGAACAGCATGTATGTATTTACACCTGGTAATTGTTTACCATTTTGATTGACAGGTGGAAATATATCCGTTGTAGCTTGGTCAATGATTTATCGGAAAATGATCAATTCTGACATATTTCTAGTTTTAACTTGGGTTTTAACCTTCAATCATATACAACAGCAACTTGTGCTTATCATGTTTGATTAAACGAAGAAAATTCACGTATGTGCCTATTGAACTAAAACTGCAACTCGACCCAATAGTATTACTTATTACCTTCATAAACAATTTGTTCCTATATTGCTGCTTTGAAATACGACCGGGAATACGAAATGTACTAGTTTATAGCTGTAGACATATCTACTGTCAAATTAATGTAGGTTTCTTAAGAATATCTACAATTTTGAAATTGCATAATATGCTCCGCAAACACCGAGAAATATATTCTAAATTCTTTCCGTGTATATGCGCCATTGTTTGGAACCCTTATTCTGTCTACTAAAAAGTAAATTATTATTATAAATATGCATTATCATTTCGGCTTCTTCAAAATATCAGGTTATTTTAATTAAAGTCTCACTTCTTTCTATTTTTTAACCATCGATGAGTCCATTCCACTTCAAAGGAGGATCAAAATGAATGACATTGCACCATACAACTGGTTTGTCGTTCAGGGACAAATATAAAAAACGTTATATTCGAAGCAAGGCCGGTTTCCCCGTATGCACATTCAAAACCCATTTGTATCACTCCTAATCAATTTGGCGGAGTAAGAGATAATAAAATGGGTTGAAAAATTTACGAGAATCGGCCATGCATGACAACATATTCACACTCACCAGACTACTTCCGAAAGTGGTTTGGTAGCGTATTGCTTCTTGCCACAGATGCTTCGTTCTGAATGTTAAACTTCCCGCGGTTAAATCGCTGTGGCCGCCTAAATATTTTGTGCTGTGATGAAAAAAGATAATTTAAATAACATAAGTAGTTCCTTCCACAACGTTTTATCCCATACGTATTTTCGCGCAATTCTTCAAAGAATTATAAATTGTGTAGACGGAAATTTAATGCGTATTGCTATATGTACGCACAGTTTGTGAAAACTAAGCATGTATACAAATAATTGTCAATCACAAAAGTTGATCAGGAAATCACAGAAAATCGTTACTTTATGAGGCCTTGTTAGTTTATACATGAGTTGTTTAGTCTAATCATTGTATGAAGTCACCTAGCTCTAGATAGCTAAAAGACTAAAATATATCCTACCAGCTCTGCATACATATATCGATTCCATGTTGTATCGGACTCTGGAGATACGGACCGGCAAACGTGCTGTCGACCAACGTGATGACGTTTTCGAGTGACCTACCCAGCTTGCCAAATTCCGCAAGGTCCAAGATGGCCATAGTGGGGTTACAGGGTGTCTCTCCATACAACATCTGGTAAAGTAATTACAAAACAGGATTGGTCATATTTCATTACTGCATCTATCAACCATTTTATATTGTAAGGATCCTCGTAGGAGATGATTTTAGTGCAGACAACTATTCTTCTTGACGCGTTGATAACAGCAACGATTGCACCCTATACAAACCCTATGAAGACGGATGATTGGACAGACAACGATAAGAGAAATAATTGTTTGGTTTTGTTGGTGCTTTACGGCCATTTAAGGACGAGCCAGGATTTGGTGGAGGGTACGTAGTCAAACGCCTTAAGCAATCGGTCCCCATGGCTCCAGACATGATGTCCCTGCAGGTAGGGCGTCATAATTGTACCTGCTGCTCCTATTGCTTGATCATAAGAGGCGACTAAATTTGGGGTCTTATCTTATCTCTTCTTTCTAAAAAACTTCCTTCTTCCTAATGCCTCCCTTGACAATGCCTCACTTTTGGTCTTTAGTTGAGCATTCTCCCCTATGAGGAAGGCTTTGGGTTCTGTCCCCTGGCCGAGACATACCAGAGTCTGTAAAAGTGGTAGTTTCTACGCCTTGCTTAACGCTCAGCAATTTTGGAATGGGACGACTGGTTCGCCCGTTGTCAGTATAATGTGACCGGGTGGGGTGTCCTGCTGGGTGTATTCGGCAGCATGTTTCAGTGAGGTAGCACTATAAAGTCGGCATCAGTTCCGCGCTATCACAAGGAGACAAGCACGCACATATTGCAGCCTCCCAAAACACACGCGCGTACACTACACGCATGCAACCTGCACACAGGAGAGGCCATCCTTAAATGGCCATATCTGTTGATAGGACGTTAAACAAAACAAAACCAAACCAAACCAATCCAGAAATGAATATACTGAGTGGTAAATATCGGTAAAGTATTCTTTCATCGCATCTCGCTTCTGTCATTCATCATTAGGGTGAAGGTGGATCTAGATTAAACAGATTATGGGATATTTCTTGCTCACTGCAGTTACAACTGATTATTTTTAAGGTGTTCTTATTGATGAGATCAATTAATGTGAAAGTTAGATAATAATGCTTAATCTAACAAAGGTTGACGGAAAAATGAAATGACGATAAATGATAAGTGTCAAGATGTCATGGAATTTTCGTCGAAACTTCTGCCTTACCCTCGTGTTTGATTTGACGTGTTTCCGGTACTCATCTACGTCACATCCTGCTTGTACAAAAGTCACCTCGATATTGAACTTTGGAAATATATTCTTGACTATGTCAAAGATACCACTGTAGCACGGATTGTTAATCACCTGTAAACACAAATCATAGTTATATATTTTAACAGATCGATAAATAACATTGATGTTTGCTTATCCGTTTAGGTAAACGCGAGCCCTTACTTCAATCGCCTATGCATGCTTAGAGATGTTCGGGAAGTCATAGGTAGTTTTGCAAAGAGAAACACCGGAAATTAGAAGTAGGTGTGTCAAAAGAGACATTAGAGTAAAACAGTTGGTCTGCCAGGAGGAACAATGGAAGTAAATGATAGGTGTACCAAGTGAACAAGCGAAAATTCACAATACATATGTCGCGATCGACACCGAAATTAAGTTTTAGGTATTTCAGGAGAGGATTTGGAAGTAAGCAGACTGTGTGCCCAGAGAGACACGGAAAATAAATGTATGGCAAGCATGCAATAGGTTTACCAAAAAAAAGTATGACAAGTAACTGGTGTTTTTTTGATCCAATCAGCTAATGACATGGCATATAATCCTAAAATTAGTTGTCTGTAATAGGCACACATTACCCACTTCGTTCGATCATGTTTTGGGGTGAAGTGCTTTAATTTGCACTATGCATGTAATGGGATATTGCTTCCCATAATTGTGACGTTATAAGAGAGACGCTAGCGATCCATTGTCGTTTGTTATCGGCCAGTTGTCCTGCTGGTGTAGAGGCTTAAAATGATATTTTTTTTAGAATATATCGGTTCGCCAATGTTCTTCAAACGGCCATATCAACGTAGAGTATATCATTTTATTCGTAAATATAATCTAGTACAGGTCTGTATTATGTAAAAATGTCTAGTAATATTAGGCTTAGTTTAAAGAATAACTAAATTAAGTCTGGCGAAACTTGAAAATTACACTTCAGAAGAGTATGTCTAGTACATACGATATGGTCCCCCGACTTGAGGAATCCGAACAAAGCCGTTGTTGTACTGGCCATGCCCGTGTTGAACACCAGAGTTCCCTCCCCTTTCTCGAGGTTGTTGAGCACGCTTTGCACATTGTCGGACGTGAAGTTGTTCAGGCGGGAATATATGTAGCCACCCTGTAAAGAGATGAACGCAACGCACAAACAGGTGATTGAACCTTAAGATTTGGTAATAGAAACAATGAATTACATTGCATTATACAGCTGTTTTGTCACTATGTTAAATTCGAAAATCAACAAATATAAGATATGTTTACCATTTACAATTTGATTTTTAAAAGATCGAATTAAGAAACTAGGTCCATAATCAATTGTACAACATTAATAAATCATGCGTCATTAATTAAGGTTTGACTTACCCTGCACTCATTCAAAATAGCTATATGTCATGTCATTTTATCTCAGCGATAGAAAATCTCTTATATCGTTCCAAGAGCAACTCTTACCTTTTCTAGTATTTCTAGGTAGTCGTCCACACTCTTGAGTTTGTAGGTGGAGGAGTGATAGATGGGAGGAACCAGTGGCTCTGTTTGCGGGCCTTCTTCGAACACGTACCGCGCTGATGTAGCCACCGTGTCAACACTGACGTCATTAAGGGCCAGACCACCAACTCCTTTGTCGAATGAAGACTTTGGTGGATCCCATTTCCGACTGAACAAACAAACACGATTATATGTGTCCCGTTGATCTGTATAGAGTAGTTAGCAACGGTCAACTGTCACTCGGAATTGAATGTGAATACACAGTTTATTCTTGTTTTTAAATAATTATGAATGTGACATAAGGGTGAGGACCATTCAATCGCTGATGAAGGTCTAAGCTGGAAAACTTGGATCAAGAGTGACTGTTGTTATTTATAATACCATTTATTTGGCGTGACATTATTAATCCTGTGGCGTTTCATTGGAGACCGCAATTACCTTAAAAACACTTAGATATGTTTTATTAGCATCATGGTAATGTTATCTTGTTCATACTTTACTTGTTAGTTTCCCTCTTTGCCTAAACGCTACTTACTTTTATCAGATCTGATCAGGATATATTGCTACATTTAATCATACACGGTCAACCTTCTTGGGTTTTGTTACCGCTTCACTGTCCTAACTTTTCATAGAGCTTGACATGACTGGGCAACCATACAAAGCCAGACAAAAACTAGGTCATAATGTCATAAACGGCGCTGGGTCCCTAAGGAGATGCATAGTGTTTAAGCAAGCGAATGATCGTTATTTTTTTCTTTTTCTTATTTTCATATACAATATGCATAACATGCATGTGACGATGGTAAGTGATGGCTTTTATACCTACCTCATGATACGATCGCGTCTAGACGAGGAGACGTAGGGTGGTTCTCCTGTGGACAGGTGTGAGCAGAGTACGGAGACTCGACTGGGACATGGACGTCGTTATCTCTTCCTAAATCATTGTGCTCCATTATACAATCCTAAATGTCACTCTTGTGACAGGCGGTTCGTATGTGTATTGATGTTTCGACAAAGTAAAGTACATATTGAAAGATTATACTAGATACCTTATACTTATTTATCACATACCTGTCGAATCTTGTTAAAGTAATACGAGCAATTTTTAGACCATGAAATACAACGTTCTATATTGCACATGCAACTAACTGTTGGAAAACCATCTTCTAACAGGACTGTATACAAATAACAGGGATTGTACATATATATACATGTATATATGTAGTCCGTGTACTTGTAGACCATACAATTATCTATAATATTATACAATGTATATTTGCAAATCGGGATTGTAAGGCAAATACAAATCCCTGATTCACCCAAACAACGCGTGTCATATAATAGTTCTGCCGTCACTACAATTTATTAGGAGTGTATCGTTTATTTCTGTATTGACAAAGTAAGCTAGTGGTAATCTACTGGGTTACGCCATATTCCACGCGTGCTAGGGTGGTTTATAGACATGTCCTCATCAGGGTTCTCGTTTATCAGTTTGTATCAGTACGTATGTACAAATATTAGATACACTGTGTCTGTCATAAACTGATGACTAGGCGAAGAGCTTCGACACGTCAGGTATGTCAGCACTTTTTCTGGTATGTAAAGGGTTGTATGGGAAGCATATACACAGCCTATCCTGCGTAGGTGTTGATCTTTGCCTCTAAACGTCTATTATTAGTAATTAAAAACCATCTCCACTCATTATTTTTATTGTGTATCTAAGACGGATATTACACCTTGTTGCAGTGTCGAAGATAGCAACTTTGGGTCATCTGTTCTGTTGGTTTTATTTGTAAACGTCCGTGAAATGTTTACCATGTCTTATGTTAAACATTGATAATATACTATATATTCATCTGGATGAGTCCATAATGGTCTACAGTGGTGAAAGGGTTAAATAGCAAATTTAAAGGACACTATACACCCATACACATAAAGAGCACATCATTTATTTATTATTTCAATTATGCCTGTCTTGTATCTGACTGGTAGTAGTAGAATCTAAAAAAGAACCTTGAATGAAAGAACATAATCTAAACATATGCCGTTCATATTGTTTAAACTACCATTCAACGAACATACATCATAATTTCTTCCCATACAAGAAAGTGCGTCGGCCTGTTCAATGGTATTCAAAGGAGACAATTTTATAATATGAAGTGAAATCTGTTTAGATGTATAACATCCGAATGTTTAAGCTCTATGTTCGCACTTTAAATAACTGTACTTAGTTAGTACTATGGGACATGTTATGTTCAGGACACGACAAAGGTCACGATGATATATACTAAGAATGAAATCCTGTGAATGAGTTTATGATTTACAATATATTTGTTGAGTCTGATTGCAAGATGTTTGACATTTCCATAGGAAAATTTATACTGCTCTCCCTCCCTGCCAACTTGTTTCAGTTTTCACACGAGGCTGAATTTATTATTGAGCTTATCAAAACACCGAGTGTAAAACCAATTTTAATTCGATAAATATCGACAATGTATTGTTTCTGAATTATTTATTGACAACGTAGATCGTATGTACCCAGTGACCATTAAGGACAGTACTTTCCCTTGTTAATAGTTAAATCCTTGCTTCCCTTCCTAAGGCGTTTACATGTCGAAGTTGATTAAACGGCTGACGGACAAACTCACTAAAAAGGGTTGCCAGAGATACATGCTGATGAAGACTTCAGACAAGCTTTTAAGTAGCCATCACGATCTAGTTAAAAAAAATATTTAAACCCATCGGTGTGATTTCTGGTTCCGTTGCCACTACATCGGTCATCATTTTTAAGATGTGACATTACTTTGTTTAACCTATATTTACATAGCGACAATTGTTGATGAGGAAAAAGACGCTTACCCTTACGGAACTCATTCTCGTATTCTTCTTGTAATTCTTATGGGCTCCATGTTAATCGTTCCTTTGCTCAAGTTCTGCCTAGGTTTTTTTCGAACTGTGTTTTTATTCACACTATGGTATTCTATTTTGACCTGATTGGAATACATCCGCCTTAATATCTGTACTTTAAATCGTCAATGTTAAAACCACACATTTCTAAGAAATCATCTGAACTGTTAGGTACGTTAAAGGAAAGTGTATAACATTATTACAAGTTGTTTATTTGATTTACATATTAGACAGTATATAATGATATAAAAATAAAAAGGATTTAACTGCAGCCGCCTTATATCCTTATCTTATAGATAACAAAATCTTTAGTTTAGATCTTGTTAATAGAGCTTTGCATTAATCACAACTCTCTGATTCTTGATATAGATTATCAGGCTCAGAATGTAACCCATCTTCGCTAGCCAAATGTTTGCTTCGTATACATTCCATTTACCCTTGGCGTATATAGCCGTGTTTTCATAATTCCCTCCACTGCCACCTAGCGGATATACCGAGTTATCGCTCTTCCCCCACAAACCTTTTAAACAATCATAATGACCGTTACATATACACGTGTATGTCGAGGCGGAGCATAAATGGCAGCGCAATATGGAAACAATCCAAAGGCAGCACACATATTTTCCCAGGTCATCATTTACATGTGGCACGTAGTCAAGGATCTTTATCTGGTTTCCATCTATGTCAGAGCAAAAAGTTTTGTATTCCCAGGGAATCAAAGATCATCCAATAATATTTTGTGAAGTCTATCTAAGTAAATCTATAAAAACTCTAGCTTTGACCTTTAGCTTACTAGTGTGATAGCAATGTCTTGTTCCTGTATAAGTCTCATGTATAAATAAGATTGTCTAGATATGAATGACTAATTTTGCTTACCGTAACATTGTCAGATTCTCCAGATTAGGTACCAGGTTTGACATTTCTTTTTTCTGACAACTTAAATCCATATCAACAGAAGCAGATTGGTCGGTTGTACTTTGCTTAACGACGTCCCATTAACAGCTAAGTTCATTTAAGGACGTGTCTCCATGTGTGTTGTGTAAGCGTGCAGGTTTGTACATGTATGTGTGCTGGAGACATGATCTATTGATGTACTTGTCTCCTTCCGATAGCGCGGATCTGATGCCGACTTTATAGTGATACCACACTGAAATACCTGCTGAACGTTAGCAGGGAATAACAAGTACCATTTTAAGGACTTTGGTATGTCCCGGACTTGGGACAGAATGCATTGCCTACCCCACTTTGGCGAACGCTCAACACTAAGGGCAAAAGTGAGGTACTCTAGTAGGCTTGTACTGAGTGAAATAGTAAACATGAACAGAGAGCCTGTAAGTATAACGACACATCCATCCACAAATGGTGTGTTGTTTATAGGTTTGTTATTGGATAACTTTATCAACAGAAAAATTAATCTGAAAAATTCTCTCTGTTTGCTTACCGTAAATGCATTTTGTCAGATATTGATTGTAATATCATTCTACAGTAATGATATGTATCTATGGCGCTGCCACGCTTGGTTAATGTCAATTTGTCAAAAAAAGTTATGCATTGACAGTTTTCATGAAAACTTCAGCCCCTTGCATACATATGCAGAGACCTCCACAAAATAGATTAGCCCCGGGCGCGAAGCTATGATCCCCGAGTTGAATCTTGTCAGCGTCAACATCGAAATCCACAGTAACATAGATATACCATAGCGTCAATATCGAAACCCACAGTAAAATAGATATACCATAGCGTCAACATCGAAATCCACAGTAACATAGATATACCATAGCGTCAATATGGAAATCCACAGTAAAATAGATATACCATAGCGTCAATATCGAAACCCACAGTAAAATAGATATACCATAGCGTCAATATCGAAATCCACAGTAACATAGATATACCATAGCGTCAATATCGAAATACATAGTAAAATAGATATACCATAGCGTCAATATCGAAACCCACAGTAAAATAGATATACCATAGCGTCAATATCGAAATCCATAGTAAAATAAATATACCATAGCGTCAATATCGAAATCCACAGTAAAATAGATATACCATAGCGTCAACATCGAAATCCACAGTAAAATAGATATACCATAGAGTCAATATCGAAATCCACAGTAAAATAGATATACCATAGCGTCAATATCGAAATTAAAGGGATAAAAAAATCATTATAGATCATTATCAGAATGTAATTATTGCAAGTATTTGACCAAAAAATACACTTTAGGTAATCAATCTAGTTTTTTCAAATTTCGGTAATATAACAATACTGTATAAAAAATGAAATGTCCGTTGTATATAAACATGCATCTTAACTATAACTACGGAACCATGACAATAAATACAACGAGTTTCACTGATTTTCTTGAATATTGTTGTTTTCATATGTGGTATCCAGGTATGTCGCTCTAAGCAACAATCTAAATGGCTTGTAACAACGAAAGAAAATACCTTTGTTTGTTTGTTTGAGTGGTTTTACGTCCAACGAAAATACCCGGGAACATTTCATTTTAAAGAGTAATAAACTAGGTCACTTTACCTAAAGTAATTCTGCTGTGGTAAAGTCTTTTCTCAAAATCCATTAATAAGCTAGCCACATCAAGTTTTGAGGGATTCATAAATAATTACATGTATTTTATCTATTTCTAAACTATTAAGTTTATGATGCATATTAAGAGGGAACCAGAGTTTATGCGATGAAATCGGAAAAAATAAACAATGATTTTAATCTCGACACTATACACCATTCACAGTTTACATGTTACTGTACTCCATGCAACATTTAATCCCATCCATGGGTAAGCATGAGTTTGAAAGTGGATACAATGTGTAATGGACGATGGTAAAGCATGCAGAAAAGATATAGAGAAAAAGCTGTGAGGTGGGTTTTTTGCACTCATCCATTCTGTGTTTTCGAATAGAGAAGTACATGAATGTTGTAACCTACATGATTCCGCTTTTCAACATAGCAAATATTATAAGCATACTTAGTACATAAAATATACCTTGTTAAGATTATCCTGGCGTAAAGAATGATAAAGAAATTCCACCGTTAGAAAACAAGATTGGACTAAACTGACTTACGAATGAAATTCCTTCCTCGCAAAACAATTTTTCTTTCCTATAGAAAAAATTAATTCGGGAATTTACTTT